TGAATGAGAACACAGGTGGGAGCAACCGAATTGTATTTAACGAAAATTACAGAGTTACTCAGTAAAATCGGAAAACCATATCGTAAATCGTTCATTTGCAAAAGATCAGTTCATCCTATGGAACTGGACTGTTTCTGTTGCCAAACATCAATCCATTGTCACTATTCATGCGTTTGATACAAATTCCATTGTTTTCTAACTCTTCCTTTCTTGATCTTCCCCCCGTAAGTAGTTCGCACCACAGCACCACAGTAGGATGAAGGGAACTGCTGAACAGTACACTCGTCTTTTGTTTAGCAAACGGATATCTCACCTGCGCCCTAGGTGACGCAGGTTGGGAAAAGCCAATTGAGCTTTCTGTATCCGTGCAGAGATTTTTTCAGTCACCAGGTGAACAAAAGGTGAACATGGGTATATTTTGTTAACAGAAATATACTGACTACACTTTTAAATGTTATTTTATATGCTGAGCAAAACAAATGATTAGAACCCGTTTATTTGCTTAGATTCTTTGAGGTTTACTTTGAGACAAATAGGGATATAACTCAAATTCTAATCTTATGAATTCCTTATAACCTTCATCTTTATTGCCAAAAACTTTATTTCACTAGATTATACTTGATTATACTCCTTGTGTAAAATAACTGAAAAAAAGTCATCAGAAACGAGGTGTTGAAGAAAACAAATCTGCAGCTCAACAACACGTTTAAGATCAACATCAACCAATCAAGATCGAGGCTAGCAGAACAAGCAGAACAGGTCAAACGTGCAGAAATTCGAATGCGCTTCACTTCTTCTATCTGAAATTTGTGCTGCTGATGTTGTTGTTCAACAGGAGAACAATGATGAAAGCTCCACAACCAAAACATCCAGCTCAGAGAACGAAACACTGTAGTGTCTCCACATATATTCCAGTTCGCTTACATTTAATTTGCTTAAGCCCTTTCGATTAACTCATTTGGTTAAGCCATTTGTATTGCAACAATTTATATGTACCATTCATTCTTATTATTATTGTCTGGTTTGTATGATGAGCTCACATGACGTGTCCCACTTGTCATTTGATCTTGTCAACTATTCGTCGCTTTTATTCATGTTTTCGCATGCCTATCTCGTTGATCACATGTCTATCTTATTTTTGTCTGACTATATATTCTTAGCTATGCTCTATCTCTGAGTTGGCTCATTAGCCTTCTCCAACGCGCTTCACCTGTTCATCCGCTTCCTTCGCCCATTCGTTTGCATTGAAATCATAGGAGTTGACTCAACAGCCTTCTCCAGTTCACGTCGCTTCATTCGTTTTATTCCCTGCTTCTCCGATTCGCTTTATGGTGTGTCCCAAAATAAACGTATTCAACACTACGAGTTCACCTTCTGATTTATAAACTGTCAGACGTTAGTTAGTAAAGATTGTCTGGATGAGCTTAAGAACACGAAGTAAATCGGCACACTACAACACCACCAAAATCATCCACATGAGCTACAAATTTTCTCCATCATCTCAAAATAGTTATTTCATTTACTGTCTAATTATTATAAGAGTGATATACACATGTTGAATCACCTGTCACTTTCAAACGATTATTTTTACAAGGTCAGAAAGAAAAACTCTTGGAAGATAAGATACTCACAATCACAACTGAGGAATTCTTTATTCCTGCAAAAACGTTGATGATACGGGTGTCTATAAACACAAGCAAATGACTCTGAAAACTTGCTTACACTCATCGTGTTGTTCACCACAAACAGAAATATTTCATCTACCGATACACAGTAAGTAGTACTGTAGTGAAGGAGAACGCAGGTGGGGCAACCGGATTGCGTTTAACAAAAATTACAGAGTTACTCAGTAAAATCGGAACCCCATATCGTAAATCGTTAATTTGCAAAATATCAGTCCATCATATCGAACTGGACTGTTCCTATTGCAAAACATCAATCCATTGTCATTATTCATGCGTTTGATACAAATTCCATTGTTTTCTAACTCTTCCTTTCTTGATCTTCCCTCATCTGCTGCCAGACATTACGTTGACACTCACGTCATATACTACTTATAAGTAGGTCACACCACAGTACTAATGCTTTACACTTGATTCGCTTATTACAATTGTAAGATATATATGATTACAAGTTAAAAGTAATAGGCCAAACTCTAAGTATCGATGATTGTCATTACCTAAATGGCATTATTTAATTTTGAAATGAATTCAAAACTCATTAATATATGAAATAAATGTCATCAGTGATAAATAAATTTAACGATTTGTGATCAATAAATTGTATATTGAATTAAGTAGGCCATGTTTCTTTCCGCCTAACCTTGTACGTAAATCAATTATGTAACAATGATTGGTTCATGATTTTAGTGTGTAAAAACAATGACCTCTACAACTCGAAATGAAATATATCGTACAATGTGCTCACTAATGACTAACTTCGTGAGGATATTCTCACAGTTCTAGTGAGAATACGTGACCAGTAAAGTTAAAACATGTCGAGTGTAGGTAGTTACGACCGAAAACAAATGGGTAAAGTCGCGCAAAATCCCTAGATTGATCAGATTTAGACTGTAACACCGTTAGATGTCGGCTCAGTGGTCTAGAGTTTAAGCGTTCGGGCGCGAGACCAAAGGTACTGGTTTCAAATACTGCGAATAGCAGAAGTCATGGATGGGCACTGCCGCTGATGAGTCTCAAACTCGGATGGAAAGGCCGTCTTTTAGTGCTTTCAGGTTTCTAACGCTGATTAAACAATGACCGATCCATGATTTCAGTGTGTAAAATTTCACCTAAATTGGGATGAAACACAAGTTGCTATCACTGAGTTTATGGTTTTAAACTTATGTGATGATAGCGTTGCCAGTGTTCGGCCGAAGTAACTAATAACTCTTCTCGATGAAAACCTTCCAATTCCTAGGGCACGGTTTAAATGGTTTAAATTATTTGTTCTGGTTGGCGTTTTTTTCAGACAAGTTAGTTTTCTATGGAATGAGGTCGCTATTCGCCCCCCAATGCTCAACCCTCCTCATTTATTCCAGCTTGCGACCGTCTGTAACCGCGTGAGTGGCTCCATGTGGAGTTAGTTTTCAATTAACCTTAGAATTCTTCAAATCTATGATATATGACTTATAACAATACTTAGTAATATATGGATTGATTATCTAGTCGGGTGCCAGGTAGTCTGATTTTTAGCTACTAGTCGCATTAAAGTAGTATATCGTGACAAACAGAAAAACACTTTTATTACACTGTTATACAGAGCATATTTCATTTGAATTTTTTCTGTACGATTAATATCAATAAAGAGATAATCTATAGATTATTTCAAATTGAATTAAACCCGTGGTCAGCTGGAATTAATAGGTAAGCATTTGAAACAGAAGGAAATGAGTTTGAGTCCCGTGGTAAAACATCAACTCTGAAATGCAGGCACATTCAATTTATCAGTTCTAGTTAGTACGAAGCGCTTGTCCTGAATTTCAGTGTCAGTCACACCCTATTGATTCTATGTAAGTTGCATTAGTTCCTTAAATAGAATTTCACATAATCAGTCAGATGTCAATTGCTTCTGTCTTGAACTGTTTGTTGTTCCTGTGACAGAATACTAAATTCAGGTATATAAATAAATTCATGAAGGTAATTTTTCTCACTAACTGATTCGTTGTTATACAATAAATAGTAAAGTGTCAATTTTATTTTCCTAACTCCAGATTGATCAACCGTGTAAATAAATCAGAAGACGGACTACAAAATACAAGAAACTTTATTGTTACATAACGAATTTTGTTGTGAAGTCTCGTTCTCTGAGTTGGATGTTTAGGTTGTGGAGCTTTCATTGTTCTTCAGAAGAACAGCAGCACAATCATCTACCTGAGCTACAAATTTTCACCACAATCTCACATCATCAATATATGTATATATTTTTTTGACAGGCTGTAACTTGAGCGTGAGGATAGTAAATCGTTTGTAGACGACTTAATGTTTCGTCGGGGAGATGATGTACGTGCTTTAAACAATGTAGGTAAGGGAAGTTGGCAAATTGAATCCATATCTTAGGTTGAAGGGTTGGTTCTGGAGGCTGAATCAGACAGGCCGAGATCAGGTACATGACGGTCCAGTCGGGAGGTTGGTTTCTTCGCTGCTTTGCATGCTTCAGTGCATACTTTGATGCGTTTACTGAATTTTGACTCGGGTCGATCGCTGGAACCGTGCAGCTAGCAACACGCGGAAACTTGTTTCACGTTGCATCAAGCGACTGCGCTTTCATGGCACATGGCGCGTGACGGCTAACTAACTCAAAACTAGCACGGACTAGGAAAATCCAACTGTCTGATTAAAACAAAGCATCTCAATATCCACTGATTGGTTTTGACGCAATATGATTTCTGTCCAGTGCTTTGAATGTCCAACTGAAGTAACCTGATGTACAGAAAAATTTAAATGCACCCCAACAGAGATGTATAACTGAAATCATGAATCAATCGTTGTTAGACCACCATTAGAAACCTGGAGGCACTGGACGACCTTTTTTTCCTGGTATGGGACTCATGATTGGCATTGAGCATTCATAACTCTAGCTACTCGCAGGATCTGAACTTGGGACCTTAAGCTTTGTGCGCGAACTCTTAACCTCTGCACCACTACTAAGCCAGCAACCAACGGTATTATTCTCTATCTCTGATCAATCTAGGGATTTTACTCGGCCCCACTCATTTGTCTACGCTAGTTACTGCATACAACTGACATGGTCGAACTCCACTGGTCATGTCTTCTCACTAGAACTCCAAGAACTTCCTCACGAAACTAGACACTAGTGTGCACAATAATAATCAACAATCTTTATAACTCTAGTTTGTAGAAGGTGGATGAGATAGATAAATTTACTGAAATGTCAGGAAAATGGAATGGAATGGAAGGAAAGTTTAAGAAAACTCATTTTCATTTATACAACAATAAGATCATAATAGTAATAATAAACAGTAATGATCTAAAACTTACTTCTTCTTACGTCGACTAGTTTTGAGTACAGTTGTATTTGTCGGTGAACTTTTATTATTATTAATATTCGTTTCCCGTTTACTTCGATGAGTTTTAATCGATGTGTTGTTCATGGGTAGGGTTTCCAATTTTGGATTATCATCCAACAAAATTTGTTTATTGTTGTTGCCATTATTATCATTATTAATGTGATTGTTTGAATGAGACAATGGTTCATCTAGCCCGGTAAAACAAAATATTTATTGATTAGGGAAGATTAACCAATCAGGATTGAGAAAATGATCTTTCTGTTTTTTTTACAGTCAGTCAGTCAGTCAGTCAGATGCAACGTAGAACTTCGTACGTAAGTACATCAGTTCATGTCGCCATACCACATCAGCACAGAGATGTAATTGTCAATTCAAATCCAATAGTAAAAGAGGTCGCAAAGGTATTAGAAGTAATCGGAGAGGTTAGGATTAGAAGATATTATTCAAGAAGTATGATTCAGTGAGAAAAGTTTAGAAAGTCAAAACTAGAGGGGTAGAAAAATCGAGAAGATTAGGATTTGAGAGAACACAAAGAGTGGATGCACCCGTGTCAATACAAACGGTTTTGAGCTATGTGATTCAGGGTCTCTAACCATCGATTATTATCATCTCGTGGACCCCAACCAGGTAGTCGACAACTACCGACATGACTCAGTCCACTCGTCAATGACTTCATGGATTTCTGCCATGTTTTGGTCTGACCGCCCCTAACTTTCTTACAGCCTACTCCTACACTACAAAACAAAGCTCGTCAAGGCAATCGGTGGTTAGGCATACGCAGCACATGTCCCAACCACCTCTGTTTTTTTGCGGAAAATTCAAAACTTACGTCAAATGAGAATTAGATATATTTTGACAAGATGCTTAAAATCGCTTTTATTTTTAACTAAATGTTATTTATTCAGTCATAAAAGTCTATTCAGGGTTCCATGTAAGTGTTGAAAAAATTTTCAATAACTTGTATGCATTAAGACAAATTTCGATCGAATGACAATTGAAGAAGAGCCGAACATTATCTACATAGAAGACTATTCCAAAAGTTAGAAATATTATCTCGAACAAAGTGGATGTCTTATTCATCTTCGTCTTCATGAACACCGCCGACTATCTGTTAAACTTCATGTTATAAGATCTGTTAGTGGGACATAGATGGAATTAAAGCATGACTACGCTAGCTGGGCGCTGATTGGCTAATTTCCTATCCAATTAGCGCCTGATCGACTCTTGGAGAACAGGGTAGAAAATTCTCATGTTGTTAGCTGCACGCTGATTGGCTAAAGCTACTCCAGTCGGTCACGTGAATCAGCCGGGAATTATCTAAGCAAGCGTTACAACAAGATCTTTGTTTACATCAGTTATGCATGTGAGCAATGGTGGACAAACATTGAAATCTTGAATAGAGGAAATATTAGGATTACCAGTGGAGTTTTTGGAAGCTCAAATCTAAGGTCAATCACAAATCAATAAACATATCAAAATCAAACCATTTTACCAACAAATCTGGTAAACTATGGACAGATATACCATCAAGAATCAAGTCAAAAGAGGAGACGAGTAAAATAAACATCAAGATAACGACAGGTCAACTCCGTCTGGAGCCCCTATCGGGCTGCTGTTGGCCCTAAGCCTGGATAAACGAGAAGAGTTGGGATGCGGTGGGCGAAACCATCCCGTAGAAAACGAACTCGCGAGAAAAACGCTGATCAGAAAAAAAATAACTGTAGGTTAAACGTCGGTAACAACCAATGAACATCGATTCGAACCCCAAAGCTTCATTCTTTGTTAGGATATTCATCAAAATATCCTAAGAGAATTATTTTCAGACGTCTAATTCTATTGGTCAATTCCTACTGGTCAATATTATGGTCGTCCTAGCTATCGATGTCACAGACTCCAGTGTTGTTTCTTATTCGACCTAACTGTATAAATATGCATTAACTGTAAAGCTTACCATTCCTTCATCCCTTCAGTACTCGACCCCATAAACAACTTCATCTAACGGTGTTGTATTGTGATAGATTGGAGATTTGGGAAAATTGTTTGGAATCTCTAAATTAGGTCAGTCAGTAGGATTTCGAATATCTACATACCGGCATCATAACGGTCTCGAGCGCCAACGCTTGACCTTCAGAGCACAAGGCCGGCATTCAACAGTGTTAATAACGTCTAACTCTGATCACCTGACAGGTTTGAATTCCACTGATCATATCTTCTCAGTAGAACTGCAAGAATTTCCACACAAAGCTAGTTACTAGTGAGTACATTGTAGAGATTATTTCATTAAAGAGTTATGAAGATTAGTGTTTTTACACATTGAAATAATGAATCTGTCGACAAACACACACACACACACAAATACGTGAAAACAAAAAACTGTCATTCATACTTACTCAATTTATTATCAGTAGATTTTATTGCATTCTCAACCAAAGGATTTGATGTGATTGGGTGTCTCACTTTCTCCTCGACAATTTCATCTGATGTTAAACATTCATTGAAAATATTTTTTACAAGTTGTACACAAGCATCCTCGGTAAATAAACGACCAGGTCGACTAATTTGCATGACACTTTGTGGATTGATATTGGCAAATAATGATTGATTTTCTGGTTGTTCAATGTTTCTATTTGAATTTAAATTGACAGTTGAATTTTGTGTTGTTATGTGTTGTTTTGTATGATTAATTGATGCCTACGGATTGATGGAATCGAGATATGGAGAGAGGGAGAAAGAAATTATGAGAATTCGATTCTTATTTCAGGGACTGATTAAAGTTGGACATTAACATCGTTGAATACCGAGTCAGTGGTCTAGAAGGTTAAGCTTTCGTTCGCGAGACCGAGATGGATGCACACTGTCACTGATGAGCCCTATACCAGGATGAAATTGCCATCCAATGCTTCCCGGTTTCTAATATGGTGATGGTTTTACAATAATCGGTTCATAATTACAAAAAGTTTTAATCATTTTGTTTGTACGTAAATCAATCATTTGGTAGTAACTGTTGGGGACGTTAGATCCACTAGCACTCACTTGATAAAAGTCCTCATTTGTGGACCTTCAGGACATTTTTGTCATGTATAGATAAGCTCGATTTGTATGCTAAGTAACCTCAAATTTCCTGATGCTTGTAGAATACACTTTCTACGCCTTATCATGACTTCTTGATATAGTTAGCCGGGCCGAGGACAACGGATTGGATTAGCCTATCGTGTCACTACATCATTCGCCTTCACTCTCATTTACCGAGTGAAGTGAACTCGTAATAGTTTCAAGTATATCAACTGAGGAGAATATCAGTAACCAAAATCATATTAGTGAAATCTTGAATTGTAAACAAATTTGTCAAGTTTACGATGATAGCGTAATATTATTCGGTTGATGATTTTAATAGAAACTCAATAAACTCAGCTATCATCACATTGGTAATTTGTTATTTGCAGTAGAATAAGTTTGTGTCAGCGCCGGAATTAATGACAAGAAGTGAAGCAGTTGACCGTCTCACTTATCTTGAGAATCTCATCAGTTCTGAAGGCTTGCTGCCTCAAGAAATGTAGACTAGGGTACAGAAGACTTGGGTGAATATTGCCAACTTGCCTTATCTATGATGCAGGTGAGACATCCAGTCTGCTGGTGATAGGACAAGTCTACTGAGAAACGTTTCCCCCCGCTCTACTTTACTAGTGTGAAACGTGGCCTCGAAGAGTAGGGGATATTGGTAGGCTACTAGTATTCGATCATAGGCATCTTCGATGCATTGCTCCTAGATTATGGGACCACGAGGCAAGCGGTGCTGGGGTTAGGAAAAGGATATTAAGTAAGGATGCCGAATCGACTGATGAAGTAGTGAATCCTCATAAGTTGAGGTGGTTGGGACATGTGTTACATATGTCCAACCAACGACTACCCTGTTGAGCGACGTTGCTTGATATAGGAGTAGGCTGAGAGAAAACTGAGGGTGGTTAGACCAAAACAAAGTAGAGATCCAACTGGAATATGCCCTGTTAGTTGGTGTGGACTACCTACCGGGTTAGGGTGAGCAAGGCAGCCGTAACCGGTGGTTAGAAACTTTGAATGACATGGTTCAAAATCGTTTGTAGTGATGCAGATGCACCTACATTTTGTCTGATTTCACATTTTAAACTTTTGAATTCCTCAAAACCTTTTTTCTCGTTTAAATTAACTTTATTTATATGAACCTTTCCAATCGTATCGTCGACCACTGATCTTTCCTAGTATCTCTAACAATCATAATACACCTACCACTATGGGATTTCAATTGACAGTCTGATCTTTCTATACTAATATGGTGTGTCAGCTTGAACTGATGCACGTACGCATCAAGATCTACGTCAAAACGAACCGATTAGCCTAACAGTAGGATAAAAGCCATGCGTCCCTCACTATATTAGACTTTATAAATGTATGTAGAAGCATTTCAACCTCAGTGTTTACTATCAAACTCAGTATCTTTAGCTTTATGTAGTCAACTTTGTTACTACTACACTGTTGACTATAAAAACAAGTATTCTTGTATGATATTCGATAGTCAAATAGTCTTTCCCCTCCACTCATGTCCTTATCTTTTGATTAGTCAGTTTGGAGAGACGGTTAGCCTACATCGCGTTCAGATCTGGTGCGCCGCACTCTGTAACAGAATGTGTACACCAGGATTTCATTATTGTATTGTGGAGGTAGTTGAGTTTCTTTGAAATCATGATTCGATCATGGTTCGAACACCATTAAGAACCTGTAAGCATTAGATGCCCTTTCTTGTCTCACCCACTATGGCACTCATCACTAGTGTGCATCCACTAACCCCAGAAGCTTGAATTTAATCGAAGCCATTCGGTTTCGCTCGCAAACGCATGCCCACCAGACCACTGAGCCGGCATCCAACTGTGTTAATGTCTAGCTCTAATAAATTCACGATATTTCGCGATCTCATCAATTTTCTTCGGTGGATAACTGTCTCACATGTGACATTAGTCATTAGTCACTTTTTACTAGAACTCCAAGAATTTTCTCACAAGATTAGTCACCAGTGAGCACATATTATGATTTTCAATTAAGGTTATCGGAATTCCTTATCTCTCTTGAATTATTGACATTTCTATGATAATTTTTGTCAAAAATGACTACGACGCAATGAAAAATTAACAAGATATCTATATGCTACTGTCTTTTT